GTTCAACAACAAAGTCAATTATCAGACGTTATTCAAGCAACTGTGGTACAATATTACGATTTAAAAGAATTCAAATTTGATATGTTTATTCGTGAACAACAATTGTATAGAGGACACTTACCATCCATACTTCAGTTAAACCATGGTCGACTATTTGCTCCTGCAATATGCTTGATTAGAATCTACAGTGAAAAAGAACAAGAATTCCCGAACTATTTCATTGGATATAGCAGACAAAATCAAACAACTATAAATATAACCATAGCTTTAACAGACGAAACTGAATGCCGTCATGCACTGGTTTTATTGAAAGGTTAGTCTCTAATGTGGTTGTCGATGGGAATAGAGCATAGATGTCCATGGTGGCTGAAAATCCATCGCTGCGGCACCGCTATGCTTCAAAAAAAAGCCACTGAGTCGCTGCTGCGACGTTATTAATAGTATGATCTAGAGAAGGCTATGTATTCATCAATAATTTCAAGTACAGCGAGCCTCAATTGGTTTCCCCTATTAGTATTTTTCACTTTTCTCTACTATAGTTTGTCCTTTTCTTAAAATGAAACCCATAGAAAGAAAGAGCAGACTCGACTGCATCTTTTGATATAGAACAATCATGAATTAAATAAAAATCGAAACAAGAAAAACGTATCAAAAGAAAAGATAGTTTTTTTTTCACTACATTTGACACTGCATCTGGATTATTTTAAAAGGAAACGCATCACATCAACATGGTTTATCATGAACAACATCAACTCCATATGTAATAGCACATTTTCGAAACGCGTTTGCAATTTCATTTTTCGATAGTGAAAGAAAAGTTTCCGAAAGTAGCGTTGGAAGATTATTTGTTGTAATTGGATGATGGCTTCGAATAACTTCCTTGATGGAATGCCAAAGAGGATTATCTAATGGTGATACGTATTTGGCAGAAGCTGTTGGCATGAAATAAATATCCAATACAGATTTACATTTCACTTTTTTCAATGCATTCATCATATTCTCTTTGTGATGGGCTCGACTTCTGTCGCAGATTAAATACATATTGTCGATATTTAATGCATTAATTGCTGGACCTAATGTATTGGTAATCCAATCATTCACCACATGTTTTCGGATACCTTCAATACCTTTTGCTTTTCGGTCATCGGGTGTTAAAACTATATAAGCAATTGATTGGGAACCATTGATGGCACCAATGAAGTCATAACGTTGAGAATAAGCAGATGGTTTCTCAACAAGAATTAGATGCTGATTGCCAGATACCACAAGAGTTCGACGAGGATACATGTTGCAATAAACGGCTGTTTCATCGATAAATATTAACCTATCATTTGCCAATCTTTGTAAACGTCTTCGAAATTTCGCAATATCATGCCAATACCTATCACCAGCTATAATTAGAAAAATGTAATTGAAATGCAATGATTAAATCCACTACTAATGAAGTTGGAATATTTACTATCACGTATGGTTAACTCCTTAGCTGTTTTACTTTCGATACCACATTCTTGTCTACTGTATCTTTGAATCGTTTTCAATGGAACTTGTTTATTTAATGAGTTTTCAACGTGTTCTTACACCATTTTGTAACTCACCGGTTTATATTGCATGTTCATCTCATCGACAAAATTTAAAATGTAATGTGTTACTTGGTCCTTTGTCATGGCACGCAACCGACCACCTGCCGATTTTGGTTCCAAGGATTCAACTGTACCGTTCCATTGGGCATACCAGCTCATTATTAATTTATCACCACCTTTGATTTTAAAACGTTTTGCTAATGATCTGAACCCACAACCGTAAATTCCATGACGATATTTCTGCAAAACGTTGTGTTTGAAATCACTGGTGTATTTATTGTATTGTGCCATCATGAAAACAGTGGACAGAAACAGTATGAAATCATTCAATAGATGAAGAGCACGAATATTTATGTTCAAGGATTAATTGTTCAACGTGAAAATAGGCAACGAAACTGACGAGAGAAAAAGAACAGATGAATACAAGCCACAGAACAAGTCTAATGTTGCTTTGAACTTCAATCCTTCACTTGACAAGTTATGGTTAAACTTCATATTGATATTTCTATATCAATCCCGAATACATATTCACAATCATAGTCCTTCATAGAACGGATAGAAATATCTGGCAATGAGCTATCTAATGTGCACATAAAAGTTGCGCGTGCATACCTCTATTTACATACAAACGGAGAAAAACTAGAGATACAATAGTTTACCTTTGCAGATGGTAGTGAAAAAAAATACTATGTTTTCTTTTGATACATTTTTCTCATGTCGCTTTCGATTTGATTCATGATCGTTCTATATCAAAAGATGCAGTCGAGTCTGCTCTTTCTTTCTATGACTTTCGTTTTAAGAAAAGGACAAACTATAGTAGAGAAAAGTGAAAAATACTAATAGGGGGAAACCAATTGAGGCTCACTGTATTATACATTTCTTTAGGAAAAATTAAAATGCATCTGTCCAAAAGTCCAACCACTACCACGCCGCCATGGACATCTATGAAATATAGTAACCCAAGATTCACGTCCACCCTAAATTAGTTATGTTTTTATTTAAAAGACCTTTTTCTCGAAATCTTTAAAATTAGTTGAGTTTTCGCTCCAAATGAATGGACACTGTTCGGAGAAGGCTTTTGCATGCTTTTTCGCAAGTCACACCTTTCCATAA